TCTAACCAAAAACCGCTCTATGTTCTTAGAGACCAATGGCAATGTTGCCTGGCTCTACCATTGTCCGAAATTAATTTTATTCACATTGCAATTAATGGATGAATGCTATAATCGCATTCCCATTATGTATAAGGAAAATATTCAGTTTGTCGATCCAATTACGCGACAAACTTTTCCGTCGGCAGATCTACAAGACTGCTCCGACAAACATTCAAATCTCTTTCAACTAGATGTTGATGATGATAAGTCCTGGATTGAATTAACTCCTCAAATTACAAGGGTTACAGGACCATATCTCTTTAAACCAAAAGAGATAATTCAAAAGATTAAGCATTCTCTAGCCTCTAGCCAAGGCGCTTCAATCTACACTTATGCTCAAATGCAAAAATTCTGGAATATGATTTCCGATAATTCAGAGATGAAAGGAATACTGCAAAAAGTATCCAGGTCTTTTCTAAATGCTAAAAAAATTCTTTTCAAGAACTCATACAGCCCACTAGGCTCTTCCCAAACAATCTATTTGGACTATCTCATCTCTCCAAATTTTTGGAAAAACGAATACACCCGTATATTCGGGAAAGTACAATACTATTTAGAAAAATGCGGAATAGTCTTCGCTTCTTTTCTATTTGTGAAATTCATACTAGATTGCCTAGTATTGATAATAAAGGCTATGCATATTCACAAAATCACCGGCCGCTCACTACACTTTGGCAAAGTATTGCTTGCCGCTTCATATAATATACTTTTCACTTCCATAGTGACCTCAATTTTCACTCAAGATGAGCAAACTGAAAAAATAGAACAAGAATGTGATCAGAAAAAACAAGCCCCTCTTTTAGAGGAAATTGATAAAATAAACCAGGATCGCATGTATCCTCACATCCAATTAACAAGTTTTGAGAGAAGAACTCAAAACTTGGATCACCCAACAAACCCAGTCTAATAAAAAATTCTACTGTTCTAGGATATACCAAATGATTCAACTATGGACGCATCACTTGATGACGACTTGAGAGATTTTGAGGATCTTCTCTCACTCCTGCCACCAACCGATCCACTGGACTCGCAGATTTCAGCACTCACTCAACAACCAACTGTTTCTACTACTACAACACCCACTGCAAAGCCGACCTCAACACGATCCTTCGTTGAGCCACTACTTCAAACCAGTTCAGCTGTCCCGATAACTACAGCATCACAGCCACCACCCCTAAAAATGTCACCCCCTGATTTTAAAGTACCCCTGGTTCCCTCGAATTCTAAAATTAAAAAACGGACCCAGATTGTAAGACCATATAAGATACTAACGGCAAATACGCCGGTATCAACTTCTCATTGTCCAATGACCATTAGGCGACAGCCCTTGCACCCCACTGAATTAAACACTAAATTACATATTCAGTTAGAAAGGGAACGATACATTAATTCTAAAAGCAATCCTGGCTTCGATATGGATCTCAAATATGCTTTGAATCCATTAATCAATCGTTTTAAATTAGAAGCCTATCACCCTATAAAAAAAATGTATTCCATAACTAATTCCCTTCTTGAATATCAAAAAATCTATGTCCCAGCAAAATATCTGACAGCAAAATTACAAACCCCCCAGTTAGATGACTATACTGAGCAAATTCAGCGCAGTCATATCCATGAAACGCATCAAATCCGGGAGCTGAAAAAGCAAATCCACTATTTGAAAACAAAAAATCACCAACTTATAGCCCGGTAAAAATTTATCCTTTAATTTAAACATTTACTCTTTCGCTTTATATAGCTATGTAGTATAGCTATTAATTTCCTTCTCAACAATTTTGACTTTTATAAAAAACAAAAAACACAAAAAATACCCCCTTTGTATGAACCAGCCCTCCCCTTATTACGCGTTTGGACAGACTTCACATACTTCAGGAAGAAAAGGAGACTTCGGAAAAAGAATGTTTAAGGAATAAAACTAACCTTCAAACTTTTGAGAAACAAATAATTTTGATGTATTTAATTTTATAGTTAAATCCCTTGGTTGTGTAAACTCTATTTTGATTTATAAATGTAACTGATGTGTTTATATTCATTCAAGCCTGACTCAAAGTATCAGTTGTTCAAAAACATCTGCTACCTGTAATACCAACAAACTATTGAACCAACTTTATGAGATTGAAAGAAAAAGCTTCGATCGATCAATAATTACCCCACTATTCAAGTGAAAGTAATAAAAATGAAAGTTTCAGTTTTTTCCCTCTCCAAATAGGAAGATGGATATGTTCTGATTTCAAATAGAAACAGAAACATGAATTATTTTATTGCGTTCACAAAATGTGACGCCGCCGCCACCACCAAACAAATATGTTTTTATTCCCTTGCAAAAGGAAGGGAAATGCTATTGGAATAATTCGTATAACGTTTTAAGCATTGAGAATTGAAACGACTATTCTCATTCAATACGAATAATAACGATTCCTCTCGTAAAGTACGAGCATACGAAACCTTCTTCTTGTAAAATACGAATGTACGAATAAAGAATACGAAGTTAAAAGAAACTTCTCATTTGATACGAAAAGTGGCGTGATTTCCCCCAATTGAGTATAAATAGAAGCTCAAAACTACGGGAATTCATTCCAACAACTTCTCTTCTACCACCACCACCACTCTCCTCAGCCACCCCAACCCTTCTCTAAAATAATATTCAATCTCAGAGAAAAATATCTCCTATTTCACCGTAAAAATTAAATATTGATTTAAAAGGCAACTTGTTGTAAATTTATATTAACTTCTTTTTTAATAAAATATTTCTGAGTGAATTTTAGATTTATTTTCTAAGATAGAAAGTAGTAAGGATTCTTTTTTTCTAGCAAGTGTTTTGTTCGACGTGAATAGTATTGTTAGCGTAATAAGTGGCTTTCATGCTTGCGCGTCAGATCCTTATATCTGCTTCCGTTTGTTCTAATGAGATTTTTCTTAGCAACGGTGTGATTTCATAAGTTAGTTATTTGAAATTTGTCTGAAAATACTGAATGATAAGGATGTTTTGTTTCTCAGTTTTCAATTTTCCGTTTCAACAAAAAAGGCACAAATTCTCATGTGCTAGGCAACATTGAAAGCGCACTTTAATTTAAACTTTTTTTTCAATATGGCGCTTTTGAAACATTGTGAATCCAAATCTGATGTAGTCATTGAAAGTTTGTAAACCGAATTTTATACACGAGTAATAGGATCTCTCGATCAGTTTTGAACACAATTCTATTTTTCTCGAATCAATATGCGAATAAATTTATTTGAATGGCGGGCTATCTGCAACTTTTTTTTTGGATCCTAGTTGAGATTTTTCAGTTCAAACTATAACTTATTCTTAGAGACCGCTCGAATTGCATAAGTTCGACAAAAATAAATTTTTAACAAAAAATATATCTACTATCATACATTTGAAAGTTATATTTCTCAAAAGACGAAAGAAAATAAATAATTCTTTCAAATTGAAACTTGCAGTTCTGAGAAACAGAAAACTGGAGAAATTAGACAACAAACAAGCAAATGAAATTTTGGATCAAGTTAACACTCCCTCCAAATAGATCAAGTTAAAATCCTCCATCCCAGCGTTCAATTAAAAATAAATTTTCTAAGCGCTGCGTGTAAAATGGGATCAATTGAGCAATCTCCCTCCCCCCCCCCCGTAATCACAAATTGAGCTATCTCCCCCCAAGCAAAAACGGCAAACCGCCCCATAAAAAGACATCAGAAAAAGCTAGTAGATAGTTGATTTGTTCGTAGCACGCACTCAATTGACCGTCTGAAGTTCATTTTAAATGAGTATCGAGAAAATCTTTAAAAAAATCGAGTTTTATTATTTTTTAAATTGTTGCAAATTTTTGTTTAGGCGATCATTGCCTCATCGAGGTATGCGACTTACCAGGGTTCATGCTCTAGCTTCTATCTGAATATCAAACACTGCTCTCCGCGGCATCTTATTATTGTAAGCAATACATTTTTCCTTGAATTGAGTAAATTTTGGGTATCAAGGTTTAGCAATTACTTCCGAGTCTGAAAACGCATTTTTTAACGATCAATCTTACTTTGAGTGTTTTCATTGTCACAGTACCTTACATGGTAAACAGACCAGTTTTAACAATCAACAGTCGATTTTCGCAACAACGTTAATCTGCAAGAAAGAACATCTGAGCTTATAAAAGTGGTCTCACTCAAAAGCACTGTTGCCTCATTAAAGTTTCACACCGCCTGAACATCTTTCGCTTCTTCGCTTAGTTCAAAATTTTCAAGCCGCGGATTGGAAAAACTTACCGCAGATGATTCAAACTCTGGCATTTTTAGAGCCGGACTTAGCAGTTAAGTTGTCGCAATCAATTGACACATTTGCTATTTGCTATCGACCGGCCTATCAAATATTGACACCTACACTCATTTGCTCTCGGCAGATGTTCTTTAAAATTTTCTAAGCAAGTTGGAACCTGATCTAAACTACATTTTATGATTGGATAAATTAGATATTTTACCACTGTAAAGTATATAATATTAACCAATCATGATCCATCTAACTAACAATCCACTTATTTGTAAGTGCTGAAATTACTTGTAATTTCAGCACCAGAGAGATTTGAATTTAACTTAGAAATTAGTTGCCTCTCCAAAGGAACTTCAGCAGCCGCAATAAACCAGTATACCCTAGATCCATTGAGCCTAGCAGAGACTAGTTAAACAACCTGAGACTAGATAGTATAAGAGTAAGATTAGGATCGGTATTAGACTAAGAAGTTGCACGAATCTATCCGGCCGAAAATAAGATAGCGTGACGAGCAGACGGTGTACCCTATCCGAAATTACTCTATGAGTTAACCACAACGGTTCTAACTCAAAGTTTCAAACTAAGTTTTAAGCTTGAAAAGTCACAGCGTGATATATTTTGATTTCATACTTTTTCTACGTACTTCGATAAGACTTCATTACATGTAATTTACTCTTGTGCTCCTTTTGAAAAAAGAATCGAGAAAATGATCAAATGGCTAGTGATTATACTGGTCCTTTTGTCGCTGCAAAATCACTTCGGAGAACTCACAGAAGCTGAAAACTTCATTGAAGATCAGATAACAGGCAAGATTGACATCGAGTCTGGTTTGTATTTGAAATGTTGGGTTTATAAAAACTATGTTTAAAGTTTTTCTTGCTATTCTTTTTCAGGGGGAATGGCAGTGAGCAGTGCAACGTCCTATCCGTTTTATGTCTACGTTCGAGTGTATGTTATTATCAATTTATGGCGTTTGGGCCCAAGTGAAAGTTGCCCCACCCTCCCCATATCGACCAAGTGAACTTTCTCCCTCCCCCAGCCAAATATAAGTCACACTTTTTAACCAGGAAATTTTGACGGATTTTTTTCAAATCAATCAAAAAAAAATTGCTGTCCTGAGCTCAAATTAGAAAAATATTTCACCTGTGATCGTTTTTCATAAATTTATGGGGGTTTAAAATTTGCCAATTTAAATAGACATCGTTTTGGATTTTTCAAGAGTCGATGAAAGTAGTTCAGACCTTTATATACACTAGTGGACAAAAAAGCTTCAAATTTAGTTTTTCAATCACTAAAAAGCCAGTTTTCAATGTCAATTTTGGACAACATTTCAGTCGAAATTCAGTAAAATATTAACATATTACCAAAGCATATGATCAGCGCTACCTTTTCTTGCGACTATTAATATTTGGTTTCAATTACTTATCAATGTAATCCGGGTCTGAAAAGGCCAGTTTTCTTCATCTGCACTAGGTTCTGCATCGTAGTGAATTCTTTCGTGAATAAAAAAAGCAAGTTCAGGTTTTTTCTTTAAAATGCCTGTTTTCAATCTCCATTGTGGACAACATCTGCTTCGAAGTTCAGTAAAATTTCTTTATAGACCCAGAGCAAATAATCAGAACTACCCTTTATGAGATTAACAAAATTTGTTTTGAAAGACTTAGCAGTGCTTTCTGGGTCTAAAAATGCCGGTTTTTACCATCTGCATTAAGTTTTGCATCGAAGTGAACTCTTTCTAGAATAAGCGGAGAATAAAAAATGTTCATGCAAGGTGAAACATTCTGAGCGATAAAAATGGTTTGCTCAGAGTGAAAACGTCACTTAATTAAGCTGTTTCTTACAATTTCACCAGTTTTGAAACACTTTTTGCAGATGATGGCTTTTTCATACCATGAAAAACAAAAAAAAATGGTAAGTCTTCGAAACCAAATTTTGTTCGTTTGATAGAGAGTAGCTCTGATCATTTGCTCTTGGTCTATTTAAAAAATTTAGTTTAAATTGCCAGTGAATGTTATTCAAAATCACCTTCGACCACAGGCATTTTCGAGGGAAAAACCCTGATTTTATGCTTACTTTTGTCCACTAGTGTTTTACCTTAGATATAGAACGAGACATATATTTTTCTAATTTCCCATCATTAAACCACTCGATTCATGTTTGTGGTAATCAAGAAAAAAAACAATTTGAAAAACAAGAAACTGTTTTCACCCTAATAACTATCTTCTATGCCACGAAATCTTATCTACATTTTTTCAAAAAAATATTTGAGACCGTGCACAAGACAAAACTCAATAAAAAACAAAAATAACAAGATCACTTTGACATTTTATGTACTATCTGGCTTGAAAGTTTTCAAAAAAATTTCATCTAAGGTAAGTTTTAAATGGTTTAAAACATATGAATAGCAATTTTTCTTCAGTAAAACTGTTTCAGTTAGAATCAAAATTTGTTGTTTTCAGTTGCGAAATGAAAAATTTTCTTAGTGAAAATTTTTTTATGAGCTTTTTCAAGAGAAACGCTTGTTTGCATTACTCTCTTTCTCCGATATATGGGTAAATTGGGTAAATATTTCTCTGAGGTTTGAAATAGAAAAGTATCAGTGAGTGCAGAGCTTTTCATACCATGCACTTTTCATACCATTTCATACCTTTACATACCATGGAAAAGTATCAGTGAGTGCAGAGCTTTTCATACCAGAGCTTTTCATACCATTCTGTTTTGACCAAATTAATTTCAAAAAATCTATAAAAAATTTCGAGATGAACACTTTAGCCTGAAAGATGACAACTCGTACTCCAGCTGTGGAGGCACGATCGTCAGCAAGCACTTCGTCATAACAGCAGCGCACTGTGTAAACAACGAGGACTCTAAATCCAACGGAAAAGGTAACAAATTAACTCATCCATGCATCTCTTTTATTTTAGATTTTTTTTACCCGGGCATTTGAGGATTTAACCATTGCCATATAGAACCACTTGTCCAAGAAGGCAAAAGCCTTGATACAGCAAAAAACTGAATTCGTCTGTTTTAGAATGGTGGGACCCGCAATCTATTTTCGTTATATCAGGTTCGTACTATGAAAGCGCTCTGACGCAATTGTGCGAGCGAATTTATTTTCCTAAGGATCCGTTTTGGTATTAAATTACCTCAAATTGACTTGCTTATTTTGAAAACTGATTTTGAAGGCTAACTTTGCAATGAGATTAAGTTCAACTTTTTCAAATTTTTTAAGAAAATGTGAATCTTATGTAAACACCATTAATGTGACAACTTTAAATAAATTAAATTTAGATAAAACTAGTTTAGGTAGCCTTACTTTTGACATCGACCACGAAGAGTCGCATTCTAAGAAGTACTTGGTACAACACTACTACCGCTTTAAGAACTTCGATCCAAATGTAGACTTGACTCATGGATATGATATTGTGGCACTTAAGCTCAAGGAAGAAATCAGCTTCGACAACTATCGACAGAAACTGAATCCATGTCAAGGCAAAGTGGGCTCCAAGGATGTGGACGACAATCAAGTATGGGCCGTTGGATTTGGATACACCGACAGCCATGGAACTAGACCAGACAAGCTAATGGCAAGTATTTTCCACTTTAAACATGGCTCCTGAGTTCCATGCATCTTTGAAGCCCTGCTAAGGTCTCAAAGAAACTCCAAACTTAATGATATTCCAAACTTCTTCATAATTTTTTCCTGGAAATTTTCAGAATTTGTTCAAGGTTTGATAAAGATTGCAAAAATTTTTGAACATATTTCTGTGCAACCTTGAAAGGTCTGCTGTAGATTCTACTTATTGTTTTCACTCGTAAATGTTACTTTGGGGTAATTTATTGGGTTTCAGGAGGTTCAGCTGAACGAAGTGGAAAATTCAGTCTGTATAAATACGTACAGTAGTTCGCCAACTCCGCCTGAAGGCAGTCAAATTTGCACAAAGGATTCTTCTGGAAAAGACACATGTCAAGGTAAGTCAGAAACTATCATTCCTTGTGTTCAATATAATTTTTGTTCGAAGCGTGCATGCAGGAAAACAGATCCGTTTTTCTCAATTTATTGCAACGCATCTATTTAGAGACAACTTGCACCAGAGTATCTTCTTCATGGTCGCATTGAAGATAATTTATTTAGAAAATTTTGTATTTATTTAGAGGAACTTTGTATTCGGGTGTTTCAGTTTTTTTGTTTTCCACGCAAAATCAGCTCTAAAAATAATCATAACACTGGGTTGTGTGATATATCATATTAAATCCCTTTCAGTCATGATTCGAACAACATTGGTTTTCCAAGTGTTGAGAAAAACCGGTTTGAAATTTTTTGATTTTTTGTCTAATTTCGAGCGAGTGAAGAGGTTTATATTTGCTTATTTATGCTTATTTCAAGAATTGAAAATTTAATTTTTCTTGGATGAAGTTAGTTTTTGGAGTTTTTAGCTTCATCTTATTAATCAGAAACTTCAAAAATTTGGGAAAAAAAATTTGAAAAATTAAAAAATATAATAATTTTTTAACTTTTTTCTCGTTTTTCTTGTTATTTGTCCTCAAAAATTGTTTCCAATTTGCATATTTTACAATGACTGACGAAAATGCCTAAGCTCTACTTTTTTAATCAGATTCCTTTATCACACCACGCCGAAAAAACGACCCTAATTTGAAAAAATAATTTTGTTGTAATTTTTTAAGACTGGTCGGAATATTCTGTGCTACTTGCACAGTAGCCGGCTATCCTTGCTACAAATATGGGCTCTTTTCTAGTTTTCCTACCCTCAAAAACACAATAGAAAATAGTCAAAAAATTGCTCATACGGTCTTTACACGTTAAAAACTTGGGATATGTCAGTTTAAATAGGCTTTCAAACGAATGTCAAAAACAAAGGTGGGGAAAAGAAAAAGAGACCAAAAATGCAAGTAATCTATCGAGATCTAATAACTTATTTGCTTTCAAGGAGACAGCGGCGGCCCAATATTTTTGGTTAAACCCGGAACTAAAAAGGCCATATGTCATTACGGAGTGGTAAGCTATGGCCCAGGAAAAGACAAATGTGGCAAAGACGATCCCTCTGCTGCATCCAGAGTCAACTACTACATCAACATGTTCGACATTGCACACGACAAAGTCACGAAAGACACTGTCAAAGTCAAATTCGGATACAAACCGAGAAATGCAAAGGAATTTGCATGTATGGTTCAACTGGCGACGAGTCTAAAAACGTTTTCCGGTGTTGTGTTCATGTCCATGATAGCTAAATAACAGTTATAATTTATATTTACATCAAATGATAAAAATAGGACTGTAATTTGTAGAAATTAATTAGAAACGGCATATTAGCGTATAAAATCATCTAGCCATATAATTGATCAACACAAGTATGATGAAAAGTGATTATGAAACATTTAAAATATTAGATGTAATATCAGTAGAATATCGTAACAAATATAATACAACTTTATCCGTTTTTTTCGATTGCTTGAGTCTCAACTAAAAAAAATTGATTTCCAAGAAAGGGCATGGCGACAATTCGTCGCAAGCGATAATTCATCGCAAGCGACCATTCGTAGCATTTGTAAAAAAAAAAAACTACTATTCGCAGCACGCCACGACTCGTAGCAAGCGAAAATTATTAGTGGTAGAAGCTTTGATCAGATCAAAAGAAATTAGACGAAAAGATTAAATTAAAGAACAAAGAAACTAAAAATTGAAATTGAATGAGAGAATTTTATTGTTACTATAAAGTTTAAAGAGCTCAACTAATCTGGCTTGATTTTTTTTTGTTTTCTTGCCACCTCGGCACACCCCATCCCCATCTGAAAGGCCCTATGCCATCCCTCTGCCAAATTGTTTTTCTGTCTTCCGTTTTTTGCGTTTTTGAACTGGTGCTAGAGTGAAAAAGGGAATATCCCAACCCCTCTACGTCCTCGGGCGATAGTTTTGACCCAAAACTATTCAAAATAATCGAAATAATCAAATAAGGGGGACTCATCACTTTGGTCAGAAATATCAGAGCACAAGGCAGTCATGCCGACTTCAAAGTCGAGCTCAGGTATCAGTGCCATGGCAACAAATGACTTTGAAGCATGCGTGTTTTTTTATCTTCTGGGTACACTGATGTTAATACAATCTCTTGAACTTTGCGCCAATTGGCCTGACCACAAAAAAGCATACTTTTTTAGTCAATCAATTGAAAATCTTCTGAAAAGCGTTAATTGAAGCCTTTTCAAAATCTACTAAAACCTGTGAGAGTCAAGTCCTGGGTTCATTTCTTTCAATTGTCTGAAGGCCCAAATAAACCAAGCAAACCAATGGAACGTTTGATCGTTAAACACAGCATGAATTGTAAAAATGTCATAAAATAACGCGCGACGTGCTATAAAATTCCCATCTGCATGCCAGACTGTGTTGCTTTCCAAAGTTTCTAATTTCTCGACGGTGGCAAGTGTTATCATTCGATCTTTGTCATTCAACCGTGAATCAAAAAGGAGGAAATTATTTCCCCTCAGGGTCTTGCTCAACTCCACAGCACGGCAATATTTTCTGTTGAGTGGGGGCGTAATTAGTTGCTCGTTGTCGCTGAACGGTTCTGGTGAGTGAATTGTACCTAGGTACGTTAACAATAGTATGGAGGCTAATATCCCCAGCGTTTTCCTTGTAAATGATCCTCGGAGGCTCTAATGTTGTTTTCCCTTTCTGTTTGATAGCACTTTCAACCCTGAAGTTTCATAGTTCGATAAACCGATTGAGGGGTTATACATTTTTTCCACTGCATTTGGTCAGTTTTCCCCCCACAGAAAGACACGCCTTGCAGTCATGGCAATTTAATGTTTTAAAACAATTTAAAGTTCGAAAAATTTTAGTTTTGAAAGTTTAGGCTCGCGCACATGTCAAAATTTTGAACATTTTACTCACTTTTTCACTTCTTCCCCGCATGGAAATTTTTTCTGGCCATGTTTTCCAGATGCGCCGATTGTTTCTTCTGCGACGGTTAGAAAAGAACCTGTACATGGTCTCTTCATACTTCTCCAGCTGGATTTATCAGTTATTTTGTTGTAGCGATTTAGATTGATAGTTTCTCAATCTATGACAAGGTGCTGTTTTCCTGGCTCGCTTATGACAAAAGTTAAGTGCATATTGGCATCAGTAAATTGAAAGATTTGCCAGGAAAAATTGAAACGAATGAATCAAAACAAGTGTGATTTAGATGCTGCTAACGCTTAAATACTTTTATCTTTACTGGTATATCATTTTAACTTGTTAATTATTTCAAAACTGGTGCTAAATTGAAAGATGTGATCGCTCGTTGAATTTTAATCATCCCTCAACCACAGCAAGGCTTTTTGTGCTCTATACACATCGTTTTTTAATCCCCAAATAGCAATTAACGTGCTGCTAATTGACGCTTGCTATGATTTCACGCTTGCGACGAATTGTTGCCTCACGCCAAGAAAGGGTACGTTTACAAGCTAACTAAGTTTTACGTTATCAGTGCGTTAAATATTTTTTGTACCAGCTCGTTGAGGTGTTTGTCGCAAATTCAGACGGTCGAACGAAGATTAAAGTCGAACAAAAACGAATCATGGGTCGAACAGGTTCGATTTATGAGTTGAACAGGGTCGATAGAGTAGAACAGGGTCGAATCATGAGTTGAACAGGGGTAAAACATGGGTCGAACAGGGTCGAATTTTGAAATGAACAGGGTCGATAGAAGCTCGATTTTTGTTGAGCTTTATTTTCTTTTGCCATTGTGGCTTCATGTTAGAAAAACTGTGAATTAGCGACTACAATGAAAAAAGTTAAGCTTGACAAGTTTTTTGTTTCGACATTCGTAACAAAAGTAATGGAAAATTTGTAGCCGAGTGTTTTTTTGTCTTTAGTCAAATTTCGGCTGTGTAACTAGTCTTTTTTGACGAAGTTTTTTCTAACAATCAATAGATAAAATTGTCCTAAAATTAAATTTGAAATGATTTGTCACCTTTGATCATTTTTCATAAGAATATGGGGGTTTGAAGATTGCCATTTTGGCCAAGTTGGGACAATAAACGCGCAATGTATTTCGCCAGTTTAACGCGTAAGCGGAGATGTAATTCATCTTGAAAATGTTTTAAGTTGGTTGAAGGAAGTTTATTTGCCATAATTGATTTATTAAAAGGAGCGAAATTTATCACTTTGTTTTAAATATGGCGTGTGTGGGGGATGATTCCATAGACCTTAAAAGGCAGTCGAAACATTCAGTTTTTCGCCCTGATACGAACAGTCTTGTTCATGTTTGGATACAAATGTCCACCTTATGCGTGTACAACACTGCTTTCACTTGTTTAAAATAATGAACGTTGTGAAGACTCTTATAGAAACCTTGTTAATTTTTTTTCTTTTTTTAAAGGAAAAAGTCTTTAAGTTTTAATGCACTTAGGTATAATGCACTTTTGAAGTTCAATTGAACTCATCTGCTTAAAGTGACGTTAATATCGCTCTCCAAATGCGAACGTGGAAATGGCGCGAAAAAAAAACGAACGATTTATAGTTTCGAAAGTGAAATTTATTTTTAAGATTCATCAGCGGAATAAAAACTTTACCTACTGATCCAAGTTTCTCAAGTTGGGTTCATGTTATCAGAAAGCTCCCATCATAAATTGTTTTAGAAATTCAATGAGCGCAAAGGGTTTTTTTTTGAATTTGAAAGTTGAGATTTTTTCGAGAAAGTCAGTTGTTGACTAAAAGTTGTTGACGATCAAATCAAGTTGTTTGATTTTTGAATTGTTTTTCTCTAAATGGTTTAAGTTTATCAAAAAAGTTCTAATAATAAACAGTATTTGAAAATCAAAGAGCTTCAACCATGCTTATAACATTGCTGAAAAAAAACCTTTCGGATTAAGCCAACCTATCTTGGAGCTGCCATTTCAGATGTCTCAAAAATGCAGCTGTACAAATTTTTTCACTCAATGGTCCCACTATGTAAAAGCAAAGCAAACGTTATGTACAAAGACAGGGTTTTGTACTAGGAAGTTGAGACTGAGGATGTATATGAAGCTCTCAAGCCGATAAGGGATCAGGTAGTTTGTAATTCATATCCGAAAGATCTTATTCTTTACAGTATTGATAACAGAAAAACGCAACTGAATACGGCGGATGATCTGAACGGGAAAATAGTTTCAGAAGCTGTTCTTCTGAACCCAAAAGCGACTTTAATCGCTTTTTTACGCAAAAGCGACGTACACTAAATAAAGTGCAAGTAATGTTTCTAAAAGTGTTAAAAAATGCGTCACCATCATAAGTTTAAAACTGCGGAAATACAACAAAAGACTTTTCGAGAGCCAGTAAAAACCACTACAAGTACGACTTATTCCTTATCGATAAATGAAGTCGAAACAAAATTTATTTGTTTTTGATAAAACAGTTTTCTCTTCAAAATGGCATAATTTCTGTGGTAATTGTGCATTTTAAAAATCAAAACGGGGTCAAACTTTGCTTTACATCTGACTATAAACGTACTGTTCAGAAAACGAAAATTGTTCGTGAAATAACAAATGAAGGTAATTTAGATGAAACTATGGAATCGGGTAGAAAAAAACTTTCGTACCTACCGCAACGCACAATTTTGAGGCTATCAGTGATGAGAAATGTCATCAAAAGAAGCAAACTAATCGTTCTCATTAATGTTCAGAGTCTGATAGTTCTGAGAGCTCTGATTACGAAAACGAATGTTTTTTTTTCATATTTCAGATTCCAGAAACTTTCAATCTGGCGAAGTGATAGTTGATGAAGAAGATATTTTGGATTGGGATGCCCCTGTCAAAAAGAAAATATTCAAGAAAAGTCCCTTTGTACAATTCAAAGCTGAAGAAATTGATTGCGAACAACCAAAAAAACTCGAAACTGATGTAACAGAAGCAACCGTATTGAAGTGTCTTCCGGTGACTTCGATAACAATTTTCGATAACAAGCTTGCTTCAGAATTGATGAAACTGCTAAGAGATAAGAATCCAGATAATTTTTTAACAATCTTCATTGAAAACAAACTTAATTTAATATGCTGAAGAATTGTCTCTCATAAATGTAATAGCTGATGTGTCCTAATTTGATAACTAAAGTGTTAATGAAATAACTTTTAATGATGTAACACTTGATGTAAAAACTAATACGCACTGACTTCATTTTTAAACGAGTGGATAACTTATAGTTAACTGTATTTCGATTTTTTTCATGGTTTTTTTCTTTTTAAAAACTTGAATTAAAAGCAGAGCACAGTTTTGAGTGTATCGATATGAGCCGCTCATCAACGGTTTACTTCTCATAAAGGTGGAACAAACAGGAAAAAACCAAGCCAGCAACATACACAATGTTGATCTTGTTATCTTGTCTTTGAGTTTTACCCGATGAGTGAGCGAACATTTGCGACGTTATGAAAAAAACTTGCTCTCGCGTAATATTGCTTATGGTTTCGGGGTTTCGGATAAAATCAGGCCCACTCATGTTCTTTTTTTCGGGCCCCCAAAAACAAGTTTTTTTTTGCATAATTGTATGGATTCAGAGGGGCTCATATGGTCCAAAAACTTACTACTTCCCAAGCAATAAGTGTAAGTTTAGGAAAATGACTCATTTACAAAAACTTTATATTTGTTCGGCCGATAAAGAATGTAGTAAATTTAAATGGTAAGCGGTAGTCTGTGGGTTGTGAAATGGTCAAATCTTTGACTGAGGGGTGCATCCAGCTAAAAAAAAATCCCTCACTGAAGAAACTAGATAAGGGTTGCACTTTTAATTTTTATTTCAACAAAAATCAACATCAACTCTCTGATTTTCAAGATTCTTTCATCATAGACTTTTTTTGCCAAAACCAACCCAATTTGAGAACACTGGATCAATAGATAATTATTTTGGCCCTTTTCCCCCCTCTACGAAATTTTACAAGTAAGCTTAATGTTCACTTGCCCAATTGAAATTGAAGAAAACATGGGTTAATAGCAGAGCGCAGTTTTGAGTGCACTTGCTATGAGTCGCTCATCAACTGTTGACTTGTCAACAATGTAGAACAAACTGAAAAAATATAGGCCAGCAACGCACGCAATGATGATCTTGATGCATTTTAATTTGAATTTTACCCAACTTGAAAATTTAAATGTGGAACAAACTGAGAAAAAACTAAGCCAGCAACGAACACAATGTTGATCATGTTATCTTGTTTATGAATTTTACCCGATGAGAGAGCAAACATTTGTAGCTTTATGATAAAACTTTGTTCTCGGGTGATATTGATTATTGTTTCGGGGTTACGGATAAAACCAGGCTCACACTGGTTCTTTTTCCGCGCCCCGAAAACAGATTTCGTTAATTTTTTACATAAATGTATGGATTAAGAGGGACTCATATGGTACATAATCTTAATACTTCCCAAGCAAAAAGTGTAAGTTGAGTGTAAAGCAAAAAAGGTAAGTGTATTTCTTTGGGGGACAAAAAATGTCGTAAAAATAAACAGTAAGCGGTAGTCTATGGGTGACGAAATGGTCAATATTTCACTGAGGGAGGGCATTCAGCTACAAAAAATTTTAATTTAAAAAGACACCAACCAGCATCATATCTCCAATTTTAAGATTTTTACATCTTGGACTTTTTGTTGCCAAAACCAACCCACTTTGAGAACACTGGATCAAATAGATATATATTTTGGCTCTTTTTCTTCCCCCAACCTGCGAAACCTGTAAAATCTCAAATCACAACGTCCGATTGCTATAAAAAACGGCATGCAGACTAATTGGGCCATTGCAAACATATTTGGTCTGCATAGTTTGTCTTGTAAAATCCCCTCTCTACACCATAAAATTGACGCTTGTGTGAGGTGGAGGGGCACTCTTTTTTAGTTGTCCTACAAAATATTATGGCTTATTGCGTGATGTTACGATGTGATGTATGAAGAACAAATGTCTTCACAATACTTAAGTTTTAAATGTTCAACTTGCAAAAAATTTTACAAGGAAAAAACTCATGTGGATGGGGGGGGGGGTGGAAAAGAGCCCTGAATTTGATTTTTTGATTTTTCAATTTCTTATTATAAAAATCACCTTGGAGCCCTTTCAAATTGAAATATAATATTTGGTTGACAGATTTTCATTTAGCTAACCCAACCAGAGAAAAGTAGGTCAATAAGTAAAATTGTTACCCTGCTGGTAATGCCAAGAAGCATCATCCTTCCAGCTTAAAAATATTTCACGTTTTCACGCGTCATTTCTTTTTTTTGTAATTGGAAAGCGTAGTTAGCCAGTGATATTAGAATAGTTGGCAGATTCAAAATTCAACGCTGGACAGCTGTTTTATACTTCAAACAGTAGTAAGAGTTTATTTCAAAGCCAAATTTTTGGACAAAAAAGCGTAAGCTTTGAATAGCTTCCCTCTGGCAGAATAAGATGTTTATAAACTATCTTAATAGCATTCAAAAATAATAGCAAATTACAGGATTATATTATGCATTATAGTTCTCAGGTTGAATAACTGCAGTTCTCTAACAGTTCTTAAAACTGCCACCTATGGTGATATTGTTCCAATTAGCAGGTGCTCAGTATTTCAGCAAACCGATCATTTAGCATGCTCAAAATTACTAGCAAGTCGTCAGAACGGGGGTTGCTGTCATGCTGAAGTGACCGAATATTGTAAAAACTTTCATCAATCAATCAATCAAAATAGTTAGACGTTCCTAATTGCTAAACACTAAATAACTTTTGCACAAAACTGAAACCATTTATTACAGAAAAAAAAATGTAGCACCCCTGCAGAATTTTATCTAACGATTCCTGGAGATATACAATCAATTTGTTCTAACTTTTTTTTTTACAAAATTTGGTTGTAGGTTTTTTCTACTACTCGAATTCAATTACGCAATACTTGAAAAGTCATGTACTTATTTATGGCAAGAAAAATAAAAATTTGAACTGTAGGTGGGGAATGGAAAGGAAGCTTTTTTTTCTAATCGATCTGTATTCATTTTAATGGCCAGGATTTTTTCATTTTTTGAATATTCAATTCTGATTGGCTGAAGTTAACTGAAAAATACATTTCCAAAATTCGGTCCTTCCTTCACGAGGAATGCCACCAGCTTAAATTCTAACTCAACTCTCGGGATACGCAAGTAGCAACCACTTGCTCCACTACGTTTATACTAGAAAAAAAGTAAACGCAACTATTAATTAAAAAACTGAATTACATACATCAAAATCATTTTCAATTTCAAAAGAGTGGTACCTACAGACTTAGTATTATTTAAGACTTTTCTTCATCACATTTAAAAAACTTTCTGGTTCAAAAAATTGAAAAACAACCTAACACTTTCAATTCTGAAACAAAGTATCTTTTTGATTTAGTGCTGTAAGCTTAATTTATTTTAGTTTTTTTGTGACACTGTACACAAAAACTCACTTTGGCTAGCATCATCGAAAATTCTAATATATACGTAATCACAATTAGATTCTGGTAAATCAACTCCAAGCTTTTTCCTTTTCCCACCCTCCTCAAAGCAGTAAAAATTCGATAAAATTAGTAATTTAGAAAAAAGGAAGTGCGTAATTGAAAAAATGGCTGTTCGCTAGCACAAACAATCGGATAACGCAAACAATAATTTTACTTGTAAAATTTGCAGTTGGTGGGAAAGACAAAAAAAATCCGAACTCCATTTTTCTCGCATCTGAATCAAGTTTTCAGTGGCTTGAAAGTTATCTTTTTTGAAACTTCAAATGCTCAAAAATTCACATATGGCCAAGTTTGTGGTTTCACTTACAGACTAAAAACTTCACGCTTAAAAGCTTTTGTGAAATTTTAAAATATCCTATATAATGTTTGCTTGCTTTACTGCATTTCTTCAGTATACACGCGGCACGAAAGTTACTGTGCGCTTAATTGTTTTCCTGCAAATTAGACTAATTCTGTTTTTGACCAAAGACAGCGTCTTTATCGTCTGTCAATCAATTAAGCGTCGGTTTCATTATATAGGTCTGCTAAAAGGCCCATTTTTCAGTGTTTATGTTTAAATATTGGTCTGCTAAAAGATCATCCCAACTCACTTCTTGTTGAACAAACTCAATACCAACGCGACCACTGCGTCTTTTGCGTATGTCAAACAAATTAGATGACAAAAAATGCGTTTTTGGCGCACGCTTTTGTTCAAAATAACTGAACAGTTGTCTATACGACGCTTCGAAAAGTGAGACCTCTTCTGCCGAAAACAAATTTAAAAAACGAGTTCATTTTGAAAATTGGCAACGATGATTGATGATAGACAGAGTCAATCAGACTTTTGAGAGCAACCTTATTTTGAACTCTCCGCTTAACATGGAAATCAATGTTCATAAATTTCAATTCAACTTTTTCAAATTTCTCGCGATCACTCAAAACAAATTTTGTGTAGACTGAATTGGTACATATATTCAATCAACTTACTGCTCGTTTGCTTTTAATTTCAGAGTAACTATCAAAACACGAGATGACGCAGTACTAAACAATAGATTTCAATTGTAAACAAACGAATTGCAAATAATGAGCCACACATGAATAGTCTTCTAGAAGTTCAACTGAACGCAGTTTAAGAATTGGAATTGAGCTAAAGCGGGAATGGAATCAAAAGTTAAACCACAAAAACTCATATTTGACGTGAACGAAATTTTAGACTTTGAGTCGGACTAAAATTGTATTACCTACGACTATTTACGAAGAAGTACGACTAATTAACAATTGAATGGTAAGTGATAAAAGATACATTTTTGACGGATGTTTAAATACCCTGTCGAATACCTGTCGTTTTCGGTTTCAATTGAACTCAGCAAATACAACACAAAGAGAATATAATATATATTATAATGTTTTTATCGGCAACATGCCTAGTTTTTTTATAAACAAACAAATGAACTTCTCTTTCTGAAAAAGAGTTCTTGAAATACTGCAATTGTTATTCAGAGATAGAATAACGTGTCCGCCAACATGGTAGTTGGTTCCATGTTCGACAGACTATCTCCGCACATGGCCGCTAGTTTGTGCGCATATTGGCACACTGCTGGTACTCGGATTGCACCGGTCCAATTGTAGTACAAGTGGGACAGATGGAAGGCCAGATCCATGAGTTTCCCGTTGTCCAAGCGGAAGGGAGTATCGTCGAAGAGCACGTTGTAATGAGTCGGGGTGACCGTACCTTGTCGCGAGGAAGTAGGTGCCAGAAAGAAATCAAATCTGTTTTCTTTCGTCAGTGTGTCGAACACAACAGTGCCTGTAAAGCAAGACTTTAACTTCCATTTCACTGGAAATCAGGTGCGGATCTCTAGGATTATCTCGAGGTGCGCTCCCCAACTTATATAACCCAAGAAAGCGGTTGTTTTTATTTCGGGTTACAGCCGATCAGGTGCGAGCAATTTTCTTTGAAACATAGCCGACAGAGTTGGAAAAAAGTCAATGAACGCAAGGTCAAATTTCAAACAAAAATATATGGTTCTATTGCTCGTTGAATTTTAAGATCAATTTCTGATCGATAATTTTTCGATCAAATTAACTCCATTTGAGAAAACTGGATCAATAGGTATAAATTTTACTCCGCATGGAAATCTGAAAATAGAAATTGTGAATTTTACGCTGCTATTCGATAAACGAGTTTGCTTTGCTTTAAACAAAGGAAATGAACTGAACTTAAAAAACCAAACCGCAAAACAAAATCATGACCTATATAAGAGTCTTCATTCGTTCATCGAATAACATTTCCATGTTTGTACATTTGGGCCGAATAAGTTAACATAGCCAACAGACTGCTGGAATTTCAAAATAAAAATTAGATGACCTTAAAGCTCTTTGAATTTCAAGATTAATTTATGCTTAGCACTTTTTTGGTAAATTGAAATTCCGAGATTTTTTGTTAACACAATGCAGAAAATGAAGACGGATTATGGCGGTCCCGAGTCACTAACCTGGCATGGGATTTTGCAAATCTCCACGATTTCCAGCACTGAAAAATCGTTGCATTATACGCTTCGAAACAATGACATAGCAAAGCTTTGTGGTTTCTGCAATTCCTAGAGATCCCAAAACAGTCTGAACTGATTCCACCTCCGTGTTCATTACACGGCCAAGTTGACCTTCGCCTACTCCGTCTCTGAACATGACGATGTACTTCGGGTACTTTCCCTCGTTGTTTTCTTTGAAGCGGTTTAGGACAGCTGTTATAGCAGGTTGCAATACATGCACATCTTCTTCGTTGTTCATGTAGGCTCTCGAGTAGTATCTAGAAAGTGTATTGTTGAGTGACCCCACGACTCCAACTGATGACTTGCTCTTGTTCTTTCCAGCATGGTACACGTCCATTCCAATCACCATCAGGCCCGGTAACTGGAAGTCGGTGACCCAGGGCTCTCCACCGAGTTTAGCATTGATCTGCATGGCTAGCTTAGACACCACAGACATCAGACCTGCAACCAATCATCATCGCAATCACGAAAGAACTTAGATTAGTCTCATTCAATCACTGATCGACTATACCTGCAGGTTTCGAAAGCGTTTTCATCAGCACACATTGACTGGGCACGGGCTGCTCCACATAGCAGACTCTCTTGATAGCGTTGTACCTTAGATATAAAGAAAAAAAATTAATTCAGTAGTAAACCATAACTCAACCTAAATATCGCTTTCATAAAAACTAACTGCGTTCTTTACCACTAAAAAATCTTCACTGAATTTATCTTGCCTGGATAATTAGCTAAATTATGAAATTCAACTTTGTTAAAAAAACATCAACCAACCGGTCAGCTCGATTGTCGGGCAATACAAATATTGCGAGTTTCATTTGACCGTTTGCCTGTTTTTGGGTCTCCTTCAGAGCCTGTATCCAATCCTCACTTCTAGGAGACTTCACCAAAACTGCATTGCATTGTCCAAACTGCATGCCAAACCCATTTCCTGCCTGGTGCAATTTATCGTTCAGTGTGCCGGCAATTTGCTCGTTTTGTTTGACATAGAAGACTGCATAGTCTCCTACACTTACGGGGTTCCTGAATCTGCAGCTTTTCAGTACGGTTCCAAAATCAGCCGCGTTTTTATTATAGTCGCAAAGAGCGCTGAAGTGGATGTTCGGCGAGTTCAATCGACGACCTAAAGGAATCATGTCGTTCAAGTTGAGTAAAATATTCATTTGCATTTAAGAAACAGACTTTCAAGGAAGTGTATCCAGACTCTTTTTCTACGAAACTCGATTTTACTGGACCGAGATATTCATAATATCACCACGCCTTTTAAGAGCCGTTTTCATTTTCGATATGGAGGGCTTTCAACACCATTCAAAATATGGTGGTGGGTAGTTTCACGATTCAGATTATTGAAACCATTTGGTTCAAAACGGTGCTTTATTAACCAATTACACTCCACTCAAAATTTATCTTTTCAGGTCGATTTTTCCGACAAAAAAACTGCTGCCAATCGCAGGTTTCAACACTCGCAGACAACCTTTGTCTCATTTTTGAACAATGTTTCTTAATTATATTTTATAACAGGCGAAGCTGAGCTTCGCACCACTTGCAATACAACTACATCGATCAAAATGGATGAAGATAGCTGTGAAAACAAAACATGTACAAGCAAAAACAATGCAAAATCAGCATCGGAAAAAAACTAACCAAGCTGCAAATACCAGAGCGGAATCTATTCAAGTCGAAGTTTTTCTTCAAATTCGAAACTAAGAGAACAATAAGTCCCTTTTCCCCTCAGAACACACACACGCACACAAAAACTTATTTCGCGCAACAAACGACGCAAAAAGAGGCCACTAAGCTGATAAAAATAAGCAGAAGCCGATTAAGCCGAAAAAAAATGTAAACACAGAGAAGCTTCGCTTGTAAAATACTTTCAAGAACACGGCAAAAAGCATTAAGTGCAATAAGAAAAAGAAATAAGCCTCGAATAAGTAAAAATTCGGAGGTCTCGGATTTGATCTGCGATCTAGAGGTTTTGAGTCTCTGGCACTAAGCCACGCACGCTTAATACGTCACAAACACTAGCCAAAACACTAGCAGCGAACAGATGCTATGAAATTTCCAATGCTAGATCCTGATTATAGCAAAAATGCTACTAAATAAGTGAACACTTTAGACTTTCAATGAACACTTTTATTTGCGAGCTCGGTTGGAAAAAAAGAAGATCGTACTCTAATACACTACGCTGACGGCTAGTGTAAACAGCGGAGAGAAGCATAAAAACTGTTTTCATTGAAACGACCAAAATTTAGGCCACTAGGCCTAATAAATTTGGACTGAATAAAGTTTTTAAGCGAAACAAAAAAAGGAAATAAATCTCAGAGATCCAAAGCACTAACAGCAACATTATAAAATTGCGGGCGGTAAAGAAACCCGATTCTGAGATGTTGCAACTAAGGCGACAAACCTAACAGACAAAGAATAGGTCGACAGTTTTATTGAAACAGAATATATTCCGTTTGAAAAAAAAAAAAACGGTTCCTGGTCAGATTCGAATCAAGTTATTTACGGGGAAAAAGTCAGTACCCGATTTCCAATAACCTTGCTGATCGCAAAGGTAATTAAGAAACAGCAATTACATGAAGATTGTAGAAACTCACTAACTTGCTAAATGAATAAAATCTAACCGTGGAATTGAATGAGGTTTTTATCAAACCGCATATTCCAGAATTGAAATTTGGAGTTGATCGTCTGATCCTGGGAAAAGCGTTTCACAAGACTCAGCAAGTTATTAGCTTTAACATCTGGAGTTTGCCTTGTATGTTCACTCATTGCTTTGGTGAACCGAAAATCAGCCCGCTGCTCGTCGGAGATGCCAGTTACATGGCACAATTCTGGTACAAGCAAAATGGGCTGTGTCATCCCTCTTCTCCTGTCTTTCTCTTTGGGCTGGGAAAGCAACAGAGGCTGCCTTGCATCCTTGATCTCGATACCGTACGCTGTCTGATAGTATCTGTGAAAAGAAAACAAGATGATTTAGACCCTCCTAATCCAGCTACAATGGTACAAATTTTTGAATCAGGTGAAAGATGAACTTCCGAACAAAAACATTGCCAACACAACAGACAATCGAAAAAAGTCAACGAACGCAAGAAACAAAAAAAATACTGGCCTGTTTTTTAAGAAAAAACTAATTTTCAAATTTCAATATGTGATAAAATTAACCCAATTTGAGAAAACTAGATCAATAGGTAAATTTTTTCTACGCTGGGAAATGAAATTCCACTTTCAAAACTAGAATTCGATCGCGTTTTTCGTGACATTTACGCTTTTACTGCTCGATAGTGGAGTTTGCCTTCTTTCAACACAACACAAGCGAGAAGACGACAAAAAGCAGTTCTAGAAAGCGCAATAGAATTAAGCCTTGAATTAGCAAAAAATCGGTAGATCTAGGCTTCGATCTGCGATTTACTACAATCAAAAGATTTTGAGTCTCACGCACTAACCACTCAGCCATGCACGCTCAACTACCGACAAACACTAGTCACGAATGAAGCAGCTACATACGCTAATAAATTGCCAATGCAATTCAGCAAAAGTGGTACTAAATACAAACAGACACAATTTTGCAAGCACCAACACTTCTCATATATCAGGGCAAAGCCCTGAATTTTCTGACTACACTTAGGGCCAATGAAAATTGAATAATTGACAAGATACATGAGAATTATTTTTTATTTCTTCATTTTATTCCTTCACGCTGTGTAAAATAAAAGGGGTGTAAAATACTAAGGGTGTGTTTAGCTTCTCGTATTTTATAATAGAATTAAATTGTTGGCCTCAATTCAATTTGGAACGCATTATTTCTCTTTTTACGCGTGTTATAAGTACGCAATAAATCGCACTTTAATTATCCAAAATTGGCCAAATTAGCAATTTTCCATCGCCCGTAACTTAACAAAAAATAATCACAGGTGAAATTTCTTTTTAAATTTGAGCTTAGGATAACAATCTCTCAGATGCAATAAATAAAATTCCTCCCAAAAACGCTTAGTTAACAAGTCGAAAATTGACGAAATAAAAACCACACCAAGCATAGATATTCCGCACTTTCTCCGAAAGTCCGAACAATAATTTGAAATACACGGAACTGAAGGCATTCGCACTATTTTTGCATGTAACAAATTGAAAAACATAAAACCACATTATGAATAAATTATGTATTTCAAAAAATTGTGATATTATTAGTTAGAAAATTTCTGAAATCAATTTTTTATTATTGTTATGTTGTTTGAAACAAAAAGCTTTTTTCGGTTCATTTGGCATATTAAAAATGCATCAACTATGTTAACTTATTACTAATCGAATGTCAAAGCACATGCTATCAAAAAGCTGTTAAGGTGCCCCAAAAGTGGCACCAATATTTTCTACTTCGGTTAGAAAAAAACGAAGTTTCTTATTAATACACGCTGCTGCTAGTGTAACAAAGGAAATCAAACAAATTGAAAAAGAAATCAAAAATCAAACTGCGAAATAGTAAATTTGAGCCTGAACAAATGTTAGACTTATTCATGACCTTTATTAGAGTTTCCACTGCGCTCATCGACTCTTAAAAATATGGTTTGACACAGAGGCGAAGCGGAGCTTGCACCATTTGCGATACCACAAAAACTGAACTCAAGCTAGCCGACAGAAAAGAAGTACAATGAAAACGGAAAAATTTTCGAAGAAAACACAACTAAAAAAAACTGTTATTTTGCGATAAACACATTTGACTGGGTTTCGTCAAAATTCAGACACAATTTTACAAAAAAAGAACTGAAATTCTCTTTTGAGATTTTCAAGGCAAGGCGGAGGAAAGCCTACAAATTATGGTTCCCTCGAACGACAAAATCATTTAGGCCGAGAATTTTTTCCAAGCGACAAAAAATTAAAAACGAAAATATACGAGGTCAAGGCTAGTAGAATTACAAATTGCAGGAGTAAAAAGCAACTACAATGAAAACTGCATTTAGCAAAAAAATCTAAGATTCTAAAATTCTATGAGCACACAGCCGACAATTTTAATTGAAACAGAAAATTTCTATTTGAAAAAAAAAACAGGTCATGATCACATTCAAACCTAGGACCTTTGCCATCCCAGGCGTTTTGTTGCCTCCAGACGCTTAGAAGTTTGTGTCGGAGACGCCTCAAAATCTGAATTCCTTATGAACCAAGATACCAAGTGATTCTGTTAAAAAAGTTATTAACCCGAAAAAATTATTTTTCTGATTCGATTGATAACGCTAGCTAATCGCAAGCGTAAAAATAACATACGTTTGTTCTTCAGTATAAATTTGTGATACTATCATTTTAAAATTAAATCATTTCTTTTCTGATCAAATTGCGCTCATGTTAAACAGTTACTTAAACTTATAATCAGGCGTCTATTGATATTTAGCTAATGACTTACGAGCTAAACGAAACCTTCTCGCCGCGTTTTTCGAATTCATCCATAGGAGATGCATCAAAATTGATATCATCGACCCTGTGTCGCTTTTGATTGTAGGGCGTGTACACAATTCGTCCAACTATCTTGTTTACCGCTTGTTTCTGAAATGCGTCTGTGTTTCCTTGACTGCTTTGATGAATTTCTAGCAACTCCTGGTACACTGTTCTTACTGCAGCAAGTTTGAAAGTTGTATCTGCCACAAGCAGAAGCCCTCCTTCATACTTGTTGACTGCAGTTGCATATCCTGGCCATAACTCATAGTTGTTTCGCAAGTCTATCTTCGACTTGGGATCGAAGTGGTGTCGTCCAAAGGGAGTGTACTCAAGCACAGCCAGACCCTTCTTCATGAGTACACCTGCGATCCTCAAGTGTTCAGTCGACCCTGCAAAAATGTCCGATCGATGTGTGCAAACTACGTGCACTACCTCTTCTCGCTTTGTAGTGAATGAAAACTCTAGCTTTCCATTCGGGTCCGTGATGAGCGATCCCGTAAATAGTGCACTGCCTCCGTCGTAGAGAATATTTCGTCCTCCTAACTTGTCCGCATTCTCCATTATGATTGCCAATCGCAGTCGTCTTCCATCAATTTGTGGACTAAAGTCCACATGATACAAGCGACCGGCAGGCTTCTCCATGTCACTCGGCGGGTATAAGGTGATTGCATTGGCCATCAAGTTGACTTGCTGTCCTCGAATGGAGTCAACGTTCAACTTCCAGTCCCCTTTGTTGAAATAACCTGAGGAAAGATTTTCTTCGTCGTGACGATTGACTCTTTGGCGTCTATCTCCACCGCCTGTCACGGCCATGTTCGCCATTCTATCAGTTAGGCCCGCTGTGTCGCGGTTTCCGTTCCCAGTTCCGTTTGTTCCTGCCACGGCGCCTCCTCTAGCTCTTGAAGTTTCTCCTCCAGCGTCAACAGCACCAGCTCCCCTGCCTCGACCACGACCAGCAGCCACATTGTCTTGACCACCAACTGGTGGTGGAACTTCACTGGGAGCAACAGCCGGAGATACTCCCCGACCACGTCCTCTACCTCGAGCTATTGGAGCTGCTCCAACAGGTTGAACCGGTTGTGACGCACTTTGTGGCGGTGGTGCTGCAGCCGGTTCTTCACTTGGAGCTACTGCTGTCCCGCGACCCCTTCCTCTCCCCCTTCCTCTACCAGCCATTTTTCAATGATTCTGAAACAACCATTTTTAGAGTAAAATTGGCATGAAAAAACGGTAACTGTTTGAGTTACATAAATTGAAACAAATTAAAAGAAAATACGGTAGAAGCTAAAATAGCGTACAATATGAGCATATTATACTCATATTTATTTCTCCGCCTGTAGTTTTTCCTTCGAGCTGTGACAATTAAAACACAGCCAACTGACAGTAGGAAAAGAGCAATGAACGCAAGGAAACTAAAAAAAAAACCGACTTGTTTTTTCAAAATTCTTCAACTTCTGAATTTCGAAGAAAAAATAGATTACTTTAAAACTCTTTGAATTTGTAGAACAATTTATGAAGGATAGTTTTAAGTTAAAGCTAATCCAATTTGAGAACACTAGATCAATAGGTAAAGCTTATATTTCGCTGAGAAATCTGATAATTAATTTCCATTTTCGAAATTAGAATTCGATCACGTTTTTTGTGACCTTTACAATTTTGTCGTTCGATAGTGGAGTTTGCCTTCCTTTTAAAAAAAGAAATGCACTGAACTTAAAAAGAAACCACAAGTCAAACCGCGAAAAATCAAAATTGAGCGTGAACAAATTTTAAGACTTTTTCCTTAAAAAAACTACTCAATACTCTTAAAAAGTGCATTACAAGCTAGCAGAGAGGAAAGGAAAAGAGAAAAGTCCAAAGAAAACGTAAAAATTTCGAAGAAACCACAACTAAAAATTTTTGTCTACAATTATGTTCTTTTTCCGGAAAACACGTCCAGAAACACATTTGACGGCGTTTAATGAAAGCTCAGACACAATTTTTGAGCAAAAATAATTGTTGTCATGAAAAACGAACTATACATTCTAATCTGGGATTTTTAACGCAATATGAAGAAAAGCATACAAATTATGGTTCCCCCGAACGACCCAAAAATAGGAAAGTAAGCCAAAACAAACATTAGCATCACAACTTTACAAAAAATTTTGTGTGTAATCGAAGAGGTTACATAGCAAAAAGCATTTAAACAATTCCATTAACGGTCAACGAGCATATAAATGAATCTCAACTGTTCGATTTGTCAAAGAACGCGATACCGACTCTCGATCTGGTCGATAACCGTCTCTAAATTGGGTGTTAAAACCTACCCCCTCTGTTAGCAAGCTCGCAACACGTTGTCACGACTACGGCTGTCGTTATTTATTGTTGAGCCTCTTCGGTTTTATGCTGATTGAAACAGACGAATTTTTGGGTTTTCTTCGACTAAAATTCGATCTTTCAGAACTCTTGATTGCAAATATGAATGCTTGTTAACCGGTATGAGATTAGGGTTGTATGCTTGTTGGCCGCACTTTAGTCACAGAAGACACACAAGTTTTCATAACACAATGCCAATATTGCATGCATTCAGACATGGAACGTTCCGAAAACACGATATAAAAATAGTCCGAACTAACCGACGTACACGTTGGTCTGATGACAGAAGACAAAACCACTGGTCGTTTTTATTGTTCAGAGATTTCTGAAAAGGTTTTTAAACACTACTAAAACATAAAGGGAATTGAGTCCAGCACTTTCCGCAATTTAACTCCTTCAAAAGCAGAAAAACTTATATTACAAAATTAACAATTCAACCGAACATTAGATTGGCTACCTAATTTTACCCCTAAACACTATTTTGTTTAATTTTGCAAATCGAGTCTCTACACCAGCCAAAACATAGTCAATTGGTTGCTAAGGCAAATGGGTTTAACTTGGCTCTTCTAAACTTAATCTTAGATAAACTTTTTTTGCTTCTCTTTTTACAGTGAAATATTTGAACTGTTTGAGCTTCAACTTCGATTTCATATATTGACCAGTTATATTTTTGTTCGTTCCTTCTTTCTTCAGTCCGGCCTTCAATGAATCAGAAGGTCAAAGTATCAAGCCAACCAAAGGTTATACACTATTCCTTCATCATTTCACCCAGTCAAAAAATCATTGGAAGTTTATGAATTGATAAAAAAGTGAACAGACGAAAGGTTGGGAGCCAGATTGAGAAAACTAATACTAGCACAGAATAAAGTGGAGTTGGAAGAAATTCAAAAAATAGACCTGATATACTTGACCAGAAAATTTTTTGTAAATTTTCTCGTAATTCAAACAGCAAAAAACCTTTTAGAGAAAAGCATATACAAAATAAAACATTCCCCTAAATTGTCGTATTTATAATCTGTCGATGACCGAAGTTAAACATGGTCTAACAAAACATTGATAGCTTGTTATTCAGCCCGATCAAAGTTAGATAGTTTCATTCTTCTCTATTTACGTTAATATTTATTTTGATGACTTAAAACTTGGGACCATAGGCTTTTTCGGGTCCTGTTTTCTAAACGACACTCGCTCTTCAAAACAACAACGCAAGCAATTGCGAGCAAATATAAATCAAATTTCAGGTAAGATGAAAAAATGAATTTCAAACGTTTTCGCAGCTACGTGAATTGTCAGCACTCAAGGTATCTTTATGCTCATCTATCCGCAATAAAATTGACATGTTATAGTCTGCATAGAGCTCGATGCAAAACATTTCGCCGAACGAGCAATTTTTCAGGTCTTACACTGAAGAAATAACAACAATCGTGCTGAAGTGTTTTGACCAACAAATTATTTCGAATAAATTTTCGACCGGTATGAAAATCAGATTGTCAGCTGCTCGCCATATAACTGTCGGAATTAAGTTGACAACCTTAGTTTTTCTTCCTAAAATATGAATTGAACCCAATGGGGGCCGGACATCAAGCCGACGGGATTTCAAGCCGGATAATTTCTTATAGTCGGAAAAAAAATAAAACACGTTGAAGGCGTTTTTCGTTTCGTTTACAATTTACGCATTTCAAAAACCTGCAGATATTTTTAACCGATACCAATCACAAGTGGCGCATTGTCATGAATATCGCTTATTATGGAATTAACTTGCCTAAATATTTGAAAAGCAACGTTTTACATATAGGAAAACAGTGTATTGATGTGGTTGAAGTCCCGTTGGCCTGTTGTCCCAGACCCGAGCCCAATTGACGACTTGTCTCTTTGCGTACTAGGTACTCGGTTAGCGTGCTGGGTACGGACCAGCCGTTTTTGATGAGTTCCATTCAAAAAGCTCGGTTAGAAATGGGGTTGCGCCAGATCACTTGAAAAACACTTAACTTCGATGAAAACAGAAAGAAAACTTGTTAACTTTTCTTCGAGAGATTTGACTCTAAATTTCTGTTTAAAATAGTATTATCAAAATTATCAAATCAGACAGTTTAAAAACTACCTTTTAAAAATTTATGCATGGGACCACTGGTTTTACGGGACCATACATCTTACGAGGTCTTACACGGGAGCATACTTCTAAAATTTTACCGCGTACTAATACTCAGTCCACAATCTCGGTCTAATCGCATTTTTAACCAATCACGCCAGTAGATCCCCAAATGTACTCAGTTACCATGATTCTAAGGTTTCAAAGAAATCCAGGAAATAGTTTTCGCAAATTTACCTGTTGTCTAGGCGAGTGGGCAATTTCTGCAGTTGTAGGGTTCTGAGTCACAGGTGCCAATTGATTTTACAAAAAAAACATGCTCAAAAATTTTTTTCGCCTCCCGGTGAGCTGTTTTCATTCGAATTTATGAAAAGCTTAAATTGACATCTGCAATTTCAAAGAAAAAGTACAAAGAATGCATGTGCATTATGGTTGATGTTTTGCTTTCTGAATTCTGCATTTTGAAAGGGGAAAAACTAGTTTTTTCAAGTATATCCGTGTGAAGGCTCCCCCCCCCACGAGTAAATTTTAGTCATGAGTCAACAACAACTGACGGAATCTCAGCTACCAATGTGCTGATTGAAACGGAGACAAAATTCAAACAAACATTATATAAGATTACACAAAAAATAGCCATTCATTTACCTGAGGATCAATGGTATTTATCGCTACAAAGTGCTGAAGTGTTTATTATACAAAGTGCTGATTTGAGCAAACTTTTTGGTTGTGATTTAGAACAGAAACAAACAGGTGTTATATTGAAAGGAAAAGGTCCACATTATCTTCAGTATTCTTACGGCATTATAAGAATACACTCCCTAATTATTTATACTCATATTATAGGACATAAAATAATAAGGAAAAAACGCCTTTTTGTATTCGAAAAATAGAGACATTATATCTACAGGACAGTACATGAATTATTGATACTTCAAGGTTCTTCAATTTAAAAAAAAATAATGAAAATTTTGTCCACAGCATAAATTAGAACTAAGGGATACTGCAGGCAAAAAAAAATCCGTTTGTGTCCGTAGGAATTACACGAGTTGTTTTTTTGTTTCGCAAGATTTCGGATAACAATTTTCAATTTATACTTCAGACAAAATAATTTCTCAAACTTCAGCTAATCTTCCTATTTTTCGTGGACATGCAAGAGAGCGTGAAAGAAGTTTTAGTGCTCTTGCACAAGCTTTTGGGGTAACTGCAAAACCCTTTATTAACAGATAAATAGTACTAGCTGCAAAAAAAACGGAGCAGGTTTATTTGAAATTGCAGCTCCAGAAATTAGAGATGTTGTCATTGGACAAAAAAAATCAAAGCTCTTGCAAAAATCTATGAGCAAAAACAGTTCGAAATCAATTGGGAGGTGGAAAAAAGTAATCCAAGCGTGGAAATAGCAGAACTTTTTGCATTATCTAGAACCTAATGGAGAAAGTTTGTCAGTAGAAAAGATTTCCAATTCGTCTTGGAGCAAGTAACGGAAATGACAGCCTTGGGAGAAAGACTATCAAGGGCCATATTGTTATGTTCATGTTCACAAAAAAACAAGCTGAGAAAAAATTCAGATTAAAGGTAAGTCATTTTAAAATTAAATTTTTATCGAACAGGTTTCATGGGTTCTTTTACTCCTGAGCAAGTTTTTGAAGCTTCTTTTAATTTTTATCCGAATATTAATCTTAACTTTTTTACAAACATTTTAACGGCACGATTTCATCTCAAACGAGAATGGGACGTTTTTATTTCAAAATCATCGTACCCTTCATTGTACCAAAACGTTACTGATGAAATGTTTATTTTCATATATGTGCGAGAAAATTGTGAGGAACAAAATGAACCGATGCATACTGAAACCGGATTGTATCCAAGTATTGTTAATATAGTTTTAGCCATGAATGACAAGGATGAAAAACGTATAGGTGCACAAAAGTATGTTTATAACGGAATTCATAAATCAGTATTTAACATTACACAAAAAAAACCATTCACTTACCTGAGGATCAATCAGTGTTTATAATTGAAAGTGCTGATTTGAGCCAACTTTTTGGTTGTGATTTAGAACAGAAACAGACAGGGTTTATATTGAAAGGAAAAGGTCCACATTATCTTCAGTATTCTTACGGCATTCTAAATTTACACTCCCTAATTATTTATAGTGATATTAGAGGATATAAAATAGTTTAAAAAACTCCTTTACTGCGTTTTATTCGTTTCATATCCAATGTAAAAAAATGGAGACGTTATATCTACAGGACAGCACATGCATTATTGATCCTTCAATGTTCTACAATTTGAAAAAATTTGTCGACAATATAAATTAGAACTAAGGGATGATGCAGAAGAAAAAACTTCTTTTGTGTCCCTAAGAATTAAACGAGTTGTTCTTTTGTTTTGCAAAATTTCGGATATTATTTTTCGATTTATACTTCAGACAAAAAAGTTTGTCAAAGTTCAGCTAATCTTCCTATTTTTCGTGGACATGCAAGAGAGCGTGGAAGAAGTTTTGGTGCACTTGCACAAACTATTGGGGTAACTGCGAAACCCTTTATTAACAGATAAATAGTACCAGCTGCAAAAAAAACGGAGCAGGTTTATTTGAAATTGCAGCTCCAGAAATTAGAGATGTTGTCATTGGACAAAAAAAATCAAAGCTCTTGCAAAAATCTATGAGCAAAAACAGTTCGAAAACAATTGGGAGGTGGAAAAAAGTTATCCAAGCGTGGAAATAGCAGAACTTTTTGCATTATCTAGAACCTAATGGAGAAAAATTCTCAGTAGAAAAGATTTCCAATTTGTCTTGGAGCAAGTAACGGAAATGACAGCCTTGGGAGAAAGACTATCAAGGGCCATATTGTTATGTTCATGTTCACAAAAAAAACAAGCTGAGAAAAAGTTCAGATTAAAGGTAAGTCATTTTAAAAATAAATTTTTATCGAACAGTTTTCATGGATTCTTTAACTATTGAGCAAGTTTTTGAAGCTTCTTTTAATTTTTATTCGAATATTAATTTTAACTTTTTCACAAACATTTTAACGGCACAATTTCATCTCAAACGAGAATGGGACGTTTTTATTTCAGAATCATTGTACCCTTCCTTGTACCAAAACGTTACTGATGAAATGTTTATTTTCATATATGTGCAAGAAAATTGTGAGGAACAAAATGAACCGATGCATACTGAAACCGGATTCAATCCAAGTATTGTTAATATAGTTTTAGCCATGAATGACAAGATTGAAAAACGTAAATGTGCACAAAAATATGAATATAACGGTATTCATAAATCAGTATATAACATTACACAAAAAAATAACCATTCACTTACGTGAGGATCAAACAGTGTTTATAATTCAAAGTGCTGATTTGAGCCAACTTTTGGTTGTGATTTAGAACAGAAACAGACAGGGGTTATATTGAAAGGAAAAGGTCCACATTATCTTCAGTATTCTTACGGCATTATAAATTTACACTCCCTAATTATTTATAGTGATATTATAGGATATAAAATAGTTTAAAAAACTCCTTTACTGCGTTTTATTCGTTTCGTTTCCAATTTAAAAAAAAGGAGACGTTATATCTACAGGACAGCACATGCATTATTGATCCTTCAATGTTCTACATTTTGAAAAAAATATCAAAAAAATTTGTCCACAGCATAAATTAGAACTAAGGGATACTGCAGAAGAAAGAACTCCTTTTATGTCCGTAGGAATTACCTGAGTTGTTCTTTTGTTTCGCAAAATTTCCGATATTATTTTTCGATTTATACTTCAGAAAAAAAAGTTTGTCAAAGTTCAGCTAATCTTCCTATTTTTCGTGGACATGCAAGAGAGCGTGGAAGAAGTATTGGTGCTCTTGCACAAACTTTTGGGATAACCCTTTATTAACAGATAAATAGTACCAGCTGCAAAAAAAGGGGCAGGTTTATTTGAAATTGCAGCTCCAGAAATTAGAGATGTTGTCATTGGACAAAAAAAATCAAAACTCTTGCAAAAATCTATGAGCAAAAACAGTTCGAAACAATTGGGAGGTGGAAAAAAGTAATCCAAGCGTGGAAATAGCAGAACTTTTTGCATTATCTAGAACCTAATGGAGAAAGTTTGTCAGTAGAAAAGATTTCCAATTCGTCTTGGAGCAAGTAACGGAAATGACAGCCTTGGGAGAAAGACTACGAAGGGCCATTTTGCTATGTTCATGTTCACAAAAAAAGAGCTGAGAAAAGGTTCAGATTAAAGGTAAGTCATTTTTAAAATTAAATTTTTATCGAACAGGTTTCATGGGTTCCTTTACTCCTGAGCAAGTTTTTGAAGCTTCTTTTAATATTTATCCGATTATTGATCTTAAATTTGCTACAATCAATTTAACGGAACGATTTCTCATCAAACGAGAATGGGCGTTTTTTATTTCAGAATCATCGTACCCTTCATTGTACCAAAACATTACTGAGGAAATGTTTATTTTCATAGATGTGTGAGAAAATTCTGAGGAATAAAATGAACCGATGCATATTGAAACCGGATTGTATCTAAATTTTGTTGATACAGTTTTAGCCATGAATGACACTGTTGAAAAATTTATAGGTGCACAAAAAATTGATTATAACGGAATTCATAAATCAGTAAATAATATTACACGAAAAATAGCCATTCACCTACCTGAGGATCAATCAGTGTTTATAATTCAAAGTGCTGATTTGAGCCATTTTTTTGGTTGTGATTTAGAATAAACAGAGAGAGGTTATATTGAAAGAAAAAGGTCCACATTATCTTCAGTATTCTTACGGCATTATAAAAATACATTCCCTAATTATTTATAGTGACATTATAGTATATAAAATAGTTAAAAAACTCCTTTACTGCGTTGTATTCGTTTCATTTCCAATGTAAAAAAATGGAGACGTTATATCTACAGGACAGTACATGAGTTATTGATCCTTCAAGGTTCTACAATTTAAAAAAATAATGAACAATTTTGTCCACAGCAAAAATTAGAACTAAGGGATACTGCAGGCGAAAATATTTCTTTTGTGTCCGTAGGAATTATACGAGTTCTTCTTTTGTTTCGCAAGATTTGGGATAATAATTTTTGATTTGTACTTCATACAAAATAGTTTCTCAAACTCCAACAAATCTTCCTATTTTTCGTGGACATGCAAGAGAGCGTGGAAGAAGTTTTGGTGCTCTTGCACAAACTTTTGGGATAACTACAAAACCCTTTATCAATAAATAAATAGTACCAGCTGCAAAAAAATCGAAGCAGACTTATTTAAATTTGCAGCCTCAGAAATTAGAGAAGTTGTCATTGGACAAAAAAAATCAAAACATTTGCAAAAGATAAATGAGCAATAACAGTTCGAAAACATTTGGGAAATGGAAAAAAGAAATCCAAGCGTAGAATTAGTATACTATATGACTTGTATATGGGACTTTGTTGATTCAATACTTAAATGCACGTAAGTCATTATTCTAACTCTTTATCCTAAATTGCACTATCAAACTGTCAATTTCTTTATTTTTAGATTTAAATCAGCGAATAATTGCAATGATGGATAATTTTTCAGTTGTACAAGTTATTGAAATAATTCCTGAGCTCAGGTTAAAGTACATGGGATTTTACCCCTCTGATAAAAGTACCTCAACTAACAAAATACTCTTGTGTAGTTCTTAACTCAGCTCCAAGCAAAAATAGAGAAGAACACTGCTTCATGATACCTCGAATGGATTAAACTTACTACTTTGCTGATTCTTTGTGCCAAAAACGGCCAAAATCTTCTTTTCTAACAAAACAGTATTGGCGAATGGTTCCCAGAAAGTTACGAAAAAGTGTTACATGTGTGGAATCTACGCAATTTGTTCAGCATTTCCTCTTCTTAAATTCTACCAGAGAAACTTGAATAAAATTCATGATGTGCATATTTTGAACTTTATAAGTACTTTTATGTAATTCTGTAATTTTTTGTTTGTACACTTACAAACAAAAAATTTATGGCAGTAAATTTACCATACGATGCAGTAATTTATAGACTTTTTTGTTATTTAATTTTTTTTTTCAAAAACTTGATTTTTTTGGCGATTTTGAGTCGGTTTCAGCATAGTTTCAGTTAAACAGATTACTGTTTTAAGAAATAAGATAATCTAACAAAATAGTTGATAGGCCAATTTATATTGAAATTATTTTACTCTAATCTATTATAATTCCAATTTAATCAACGTAAAAGTGAAGGCTTTTTATGGATTTTTTTCACCATTAATCTATTATTTTACTCTACGACCACAAAATCACCTCATAATTGATTATTAAAAGAATAATGTCTGACAGATGATAGATAATTATCGACAGATAATAGATAACAAAACCGTGAAATTGACAGATAATTGATAATTATCAGAGAAACTTCAGTGCGGGATGAAACCTCATATCGGGCAAGACCACGTCTCTCGGAATTTATAGATTTGATTAAAATCTTTGTATTTTTTATTCTTAGCGCATTAAAAAATGAGTTTTTTAAAATTTATTTAATTACACCAATTTTCCAAAAAATATTTTTAGTTGAATTCTGCTGTTTCATGAAATTGTTCTAGTTATGGCTCTGAATTAAATAACCACTTTTTATTGTATATTCATCTAGGCAAATCCATCAACAACAACAAAATATAAACACCCAGACGCGGCAAATTTTACGCTTTTTTACAGAAAAATCTTACGACAATCTATTTTTTAAATATGTAAATTTTTTAGCCACTAATTTATCGAAATATCACATTTGTTTTTAGGGATACTGATTTGAAAGACCGAGATCAATTTTTTTGACTATTGGTTGGCTGCTTTTGTTGGCTATCTTTCCTCTTTTTTTATTAGTTTTATCAAGCGTTAGTCCAAACTCTTCTTCTATATCAAAAAGCCGGCTACCAAATTATGAGAATTTTAACTCATTGCAGTGCATCTTTGTTTTTTCCGTGGTATATTTCACAAAAGAAAAGCTCCGATAACCACCAAAATCCAGATGGTTGAGGTGTTTTCCAATTTCAGCAGCCGAGGAGCATCCGCTTGTTTATTCTGATTATGCCGTATTTCCTCCCTCTCCCCTCTTTGATCGTAGATTACGGAATTGTAAATTATATCACTTCGCATTAGGAGCTTCGGGTGGTAGAAGGAGAGTCGGGAAGCGACAGTGGGCATGTGTTTGTCGCCACAGTTGACATTGGATGCCCCGTAGCTGACAGCGCCATAGAGACAGTCGAACTGGTCTGAGTTTTTAGACTTCATCAGAAAGACAGGACCTCCGCTGTCACCTGTGCGACGAACACAAAAATATGTAAATGTAAGGTTATTTTAATGAATCGCGGTGAATTTACCCAAATACATTATAAAAATTGAGTTTTATTGTCAGTGTCTATAAAAGAGTGTCTATAGAAGATTGTCTATAAACGTTTATCTTTTTACTATTTGAAAAAAAATTATAGATCATGATTTAGACAATTTATCCGCGATGGAAAGTAGCGAAATACGAGCTTTTTAACTCTAAGTGACAAGTAAGAAACGCTGATTTGCGCTCCAATTAATTTAGAGGCAACGATCGATATTCAATTTAGAGTGAAAACGATCTTAAGTTTGAGCTTCAAATTTAGCTAGCGCTTAAATTTACAACTTTATGCTGCTGTTTGTAAAAGTGTCTGTAACTTTCTGTACAAAGTTTTTTCCACGAAATACCACTTTAGATCTTACGCTTACCATTACAAGTGTCTCTGATTCCGGAGTTGTCATTGTGGCAGATGAAACTGCCTTTGGGTGCAGTATTCTTCTCGTACTTTGACACACAAACTGAAGGAGCCACCTCATACAGCTGAGTCATCTGAGACACGAAGAGACTATAGTAGTGTAAGTACCCAAAATTAAGGTTTTGTTTCAGTATTTAAAACAGATGCTGCATAATCAAATGATGGCCAAGATCATAAGCCATAACAATTAGCCATGTATTTGAGACTATAACATGATCGGCGAAAACCACCTTCAAAAAAAACCCATATGAGCCCCCTGGACAAGACAATAATGAATGATACGTATTGGCTGAAACAATCAAGACCATTTGAAGTATTCTTAGAAAGGGGAGTCATAAAAAAATAGCGATGTTAGAAAATTAAGATTCTGGAAAGAATGAGAAAATCAGGTTTCGAAATTCACCTGTAGGTTTGTTGGCCGAACCCGTCCCGTTGAGTTCGTGTAACCCAACCCTACAGCTTTCATAGCCTTCTGCTTCCCATTTGGAGTCTCATCGCAAACCAACAGAGGTTTTCTGAACTCATCGAACAACACAGGGTCTCTAAGTTTGATGATTATGACGTCATAGCCGTTAATCACTTGTCCATCGTATTCTTTAAAGTAGGTGTAATATTGAACTGTGTGGAATTGTGTAGACACTTTTTCGTCGTTGTGGTTGGGTGTGCCATCACCTGGTGCGAGGTATGAAAATGCATACGAGCCAACACGAATTTTAACCATGTTTTATGTTATCGATTTGATATCAGTTGCTTCTAAAATAAATTTTGTCTGAAAATAATAGAATGTTCGAAAACCTTTTAAGGACAGACAATTTTAGCCGACTAGTCAGCGCCAAAAATCCGCCAAAAAACCTCCATGCGGGAAAAATCTATAAAATAATCCTCAAAACAGCTTTTTGGTGGAACCTCTCCAAAATTTTAAGGAAAACCATTAAAAGGCCAAAAAATAGCATTTGGCAGACTTTTCAAGGGGCTGGCAAATTTCCCTTTAGAAGAACTAGACCCTCATCTGCCTGTGACGGTACAGGTGGCCAAAAACGATTGTTGTGGACCTGAGTACACTTGTAGTTTGGATGCGTCCAGCCAGCCCTCGTTCCAAGCACAGTGTGCCGCACTCACTATAGAATCAACTCCTATCAGGGTGCCTCCACAGTTGCTGACAACAAACAATCTTAGTCATACATATAACAAAGAAAAAGTGTAGTAGAATTTTTCAAACTAGTTTATAGATGTAAAAAAAAACAACAAACAATTTACTAATATAAATGAAAGGACTTTCTCCCAGTGCCGTGAAAACTCCGACGCTCATGACACTTGATGAGCATAGGACTAGTAAAACGTGTATAGATATTTTAAAAAAGATATGGTAACTATAAAAACGTGTATAGATAAAAAAGATATAGCAACAATAGTATTTAAAAAAGTAACCATAATCAAAATATCAGTAACTGATCACAAGGGGTAAATTTTAATTGCAACATCCCAAATCTGTGAAAAGGAACCACATATTTTCGAAGATCGAACGTGGTACAAACTTGAAACTGAAACAATTTTGGAAGAACTTAACAAATCACTGTGTGAAAGTTTATTTGATGTTGAAACTAAATTTGACGAATTAAGTTGAAATTAACTTGCTTTATTGTTATGCGAATTGCTCAGAATTAGCCTTGAATCATTTTCGTCCGACAGAAAGTCAACTAGGAGAACCTTGAAGCACTGTGTTGACAATGAAGAAAAAAATGCAGCATCAAGAAATCACAGGTTAAAAAGTGAAAAAAAAACTAGAACCACCGAGGCTAGATCTAAATTTGAAGCTAAAAAACGTAAGTAAAAATAGCGACTTTTTTTTGCTAATTTTCATATAAAAAATTGACAAGTAAATTCAATACATCAAAAGAATTAAAAGTTGGAGAGCAAGTTATTTCGACAGACGTAACTGAAATTAAACTATCAAAATTATTCAAGGTGTTAAAAACCATGTTTAGTTTAAAAAAGTATCGACTTGATCACTTTTACATTTAAAAAGTCAATTCGATTTCGAATTCAGTCTTGACTAATTTTATACAGAACTTAAACTCTCTATAAAAACAATGAGCCGGTCCCATTAAATTACAAACCGGTTTTCAAAGGTAAAAACTTTGAGCGGGTCATTTAGCAATAACAAATTGTACAAAACTGCCAGTTTGGATTCAGATAAAAACAATTTTGAACGGTGAGTATTAGAGAAAAAGTGTGTCACGCTGGAATTATCAGACTACGATGACACAGTGTGTTTTTTTTGGTCTTTAAAAAAAATTCGATACAATTTGATGGAAAATTGAAACTCAAATGGGCTTAGACCTGGTATGGACAGTCTTAAATCCGATTTAAAAAAATCGACAACAAAACGTGTCACTCAAGTCAAACTATCTCAAAACAAAGAAAGTGAAAACTCTAAGAATCTATATTAGGCTCGCTTCTCTTTATCTTTTATATAAATGATATTCAAGTGAAAGGAAATTGTGAAAATTACCTAAGATTTTATGCAGATAACATTGTCGTAAAAACAACAGCTAAAAGCATTGAATTGACCAGTAAACACCTACAAATTACCTGTTGGTTATAAACAAAACAAACTGACTTTAAATGAAGATCAAATAAAAAAACTGTACTGTTTAAAAAGAGCAACGGTAAAAAAAACTGTAAACATCAAAAAGCCACCGAAAAGAAACCATTTCTCCGTTACTTATTAGTTCGTTTTCATACCAAGCTTTCATTCAATGATCAGTTTTGAAACGTGAAACTAACACATCGTAGTTTTGTGGTATGTATTACAGGATGAGAAGTTTTAGATATATTACAATTATTAAGAGCAAAAAAGCTTATGTGAACCCCATTTTAAAGCGAGGAGTTTTGGCTTATGCGTCAACAGGTCAAATTAGAAACAGTTGAAACGAAAAGAAACCGCTTCGGAATTTTTTTTGCTTCAAGACAGGTAATGACAACATAGAAGATTTATGACAAAACTACGTACGTCACGGAGTTGCATGTATATGAATAAATAAAATTTTTATGTACATTTTTGAAGAAGAGTTTATGTCGACATTATTTCAGGAAGCTGTAAGCAGTGAAAAAGTGAATAAAACTTTAATTAGGAAAATTGTGGCTAGGCCAAAACCTGTGCACACAATGGGAAACCGAAAAGTTAATAACTGTTAGACGTAGAAAGATTTTAAACTTTGCTGTAAATTACTATGCAGATATTGTAACATTGACTCAGGCTAAAAACAAATATAAACAAAGTTTTTTTATTGACTTCCTTCATTCTTAGAAACTACCAACTGATGAAACTCATTTTTGAGCAAGATATACGTTAAATAGGTATTTGCTGTCAAGTGCTGGTATAAGGATCATTTCTTTAATTTCGTTTTTGCTTTTCTTTCTTGCACCAATTGATTCAGTTAATCATTTATTGATTAATTATATGAAATAGAAACGAACGAAAGTCATAAAGGATTAGACGCGCCTGAAACAGGCTGCCGATCTCCATGGTGTTTTCGTAATGAGATATAATTTTGTTGTAATTATTCTAGGCTTTTGCAAAAATTTTATTATGTATCTTGATGTGACTTGATTAGACAGATAACAATATCAATTGATCTGCTTGATCAATCCTAAACATTTGTTTCAAAATTCAAAAAATTGATTCTAAAAAGGTTTGAAAACCCATCGGAACTCGAACTCCTCCCTTCAACATCCGAGCAACCAAAAAGTGTATCTTCTACGTTAACAATTTTTCTTTCAAAAAAATTAAACGCACTCTTTTCAAACATTAGAGTGATCAAGGTCTGGCCGCTGTGCTTTTAATCTTTATGAATACAAATTTTTCATTAAAACTAAAAAAACCATTTCCTAAAATGTGGGCTACATATGCAAGTCCGTTCTCTGGTAGTTTTTCTATATCATCGTCTAAGGATGGCTTAATTACGGGGTATTTAATTGTTAAGTCTACCAGTTTCGTAGCAAATAAAAAGTTTCCAGCTTCGAACGAAATTCAGGTTGCTTTGAAAATTGTTAGAACACTGCTCTGGCCAAATTTAGTTTTTCAAAAATCGATTGAAAACATCTTTTAGGACAACTCTAATTGAAACGATTGTTTAAAGATCTCAAAAAAATTTGATTGTTCATGTGTATACAGTCCATTTTGAGATAGAAACTTTCGTTCGATAAATATGTCTCCGAGACATCTCTATTTTTTTTCTAAATTGAAAATAAGTAGAAAAGCTTAACAGCAACAACAAACATAAATTACAGTTGGTTCGTTTTCGATTATTGAAAATCCTAAACTTTATTACGTAATATACTACAACAAACCAATGCCGAGGAAAGTAATTGGAGAAACTTCCAAGATGACTTTGAAAAGATAGCTTGAAATCGATTCATATTTTACGCCTATATGTTTGCAATTGGGCTCAAATCAGGAGGTAACTGTTTCCACTTCAAAGTAATTAGAAACAGTTGCATAAACAGTTACGCTAAAAATTTTGTACGCAAATTTTTTTGACCCTCGGAAAAGTCAAACTTTCGACTTTTGACCATGTTTTGAATTTTTTTTACTTTTCTCTCGAAAACCACCCTCCCAAATCTGAGATTTTGATCTCAATTGATAGAACGTTTTGTGGAACCTCATCTGTGAGAGCGGCTTTGCGCAATTGTTTTAAAACCAATCTAAGCCATTGGAAAAACAAACTTTTATATTTTTTGCGAAGCTCCCTTGCGTAAGTGCTCACGTCCAAAAAGTTGCGGCTTTGAGAAAAATCAGTATTTTAATTTCTTGTCCGTTTGAAACTTTTCGATTCTTTTTGAAAAAAACTCAATCTGATATCATGGGTTTAATCGAGGCAACATGTTGTGGGAAGCCTCCGTGCATAAGATGCTACGCCCTAAAGTTTGTTCAAAAAGTTATGACTCTCGGAAAAATCCAAAATTACAAATTACATATTTTAATAGAGCAATAGCTTTTAGATTTTTGAAATTACTTTTAGATTTCATCCCGCATCAGTACAAGAAAATCAAAAACTGTCCGGTCCTGAGTCGACCACGGTCACTACATGAGTCAACAACGGTCGATACAAGAGTCGGCCATGGTATCGATTCTTGAGTCGACTCATGTAACGATCCTGGTCGACTCAAGAATCGATACCCTGGTCGACTCATGTATCGACCGTTGTTGACTCATGTAATGACCGTGGTTGACTCATGTATCGATGTTGGTCGGCCTATGTATCGTCTTTGGTCGACCTTAATTTGGGTCGAACTTGGGTCGATAATTCAACATCGTTCGACCTTTACGGTCGATACATAATTCGACCAACTCAACCCGGTACATGAAGTTTTACAGTTTTTCGAGAGTCAAAAACAAAAAATTTGAACTGCTCTGTATTCCTGCGCACTTTTTCGTAGAAGAAAAAAGTCGAGGTTTACGCTGCATTAAGCGAGCTTGGTCTCGTTATTTTTTTTTGCATTTACAGTTCTTCCATTGTTTCAAAAACTGCTCATTTTAATTTTTTCTGCTTTATTTCCGAAAACAAAAGTATTGTACAAGAAATAGGTTTTTCAAATGGCTCACAAGAAGAAGATCGTAATTTTTTCATATGAACGAAACGATCATGTTTAAGTGTGTGACTTACTTTCCTTCCACATCTACTTGTACATAGAATGGATAGTCTCTCACTTTCACCGATTTTCCTCCTAAACGCAGAGATTGCAATCAAACGCTCGAAAGAATTTACAACTCGTTTGGTGTGCAAACGAGCTTACAGATCATTTAAAAATCAAAATGAGGGACTGCATTCAGGGGCGGATTCAGGGGGAGACGCCTTCTCCTCAGGGATTCCACCCCCTGCCAACATAAAGGGTCTTTCTTTTGGTAATATTTTAAGACATGCATTTTTGGCTGACCGACACTAAATTTTTTCTAAAGGTGACTTTGGCGACAATATATTCTAATTTTGAATGCGCTGCAAAACGTGATTTGTCAAAGAAAATTTTTTCAAAAACTCGCCAACGCGCAGAAATTTTGGTCCAAATAGGGTCATAATAGAGATTTGCGTGAGCTCAGAAAATCAATTTAGTCAACCTAAAAAAAGGTCGACAAAATTTTGAAGTTTTTTTTTG